TCTGTGCAGTTCACTGTGCTCTTGTGCTATCTTGTTTCCTTTGAGGAAAACACTTCCGGTCCGGACACTTGGTAATGGATACCCCCTGAGTAGTATGGGGTGTCGGATCGTTGGCTGGCGTTGTTGGGTGGTTGGTTTTGTGATACTTCTTCGCACAATATGCTCTGTTGATTGGCAACCCAAACCAGCACACGTGTTTCTTTATCTCGCATATTTAAAAATTAGTGGTAAATTTTCCCTCAGTGAATCAGTAAAGAGAATATCAATATCAATATCCTGCTGGCTACATTTAAACGAAGTGGTCAATTATGTGAAACGTGTGCTACATATAGCGCCGAAAGTATTCGGCGTTAGCGTTTGTTAGATTCGAGAGGTTACTCCAGTGCTGGCCGTCAGTTTGAGTGAACGTTAGAAGGTTCAAGAGAAAGGAGAAACTATGTTGAAGGCAGCGTGTGTTTGGTGAGGGTAGGGAATATTACGATTAGTGTTAAGATCAAAATTCAAATCACACGAACATCTGTAGGTTAGTTTCAAAGAAGGAATTCGCCATGTATAAAGCATATGCAGCGTGAACTGAAAAGCCAGGAAGCACCGTGCAATTTGTTTTGCACTTCAGGTTTTGTCAGGTTGAGTCCCTTAATCGATGGCACACGAGTCTGGGTTCAATAGACGAACAGTGGTACCCTCGTCCGTTGTCAAGTGCATAACAGAACAGTTTGCGATCGAAGAAGACTAACTGCTTCAGCTCTCTGATACCCCCCTTGGATCCATTCTGTGGCCAATAGGCATATTATCAGATAGCGTCAACTTGACCCATAAATTCTGTTGCGAAATCGCCTAGTTTTATACTGGCTCATTTAAAGCTTTGTTGTAATTCATATGTCGGGTTACACATTCAAAGACAATCATTTGTTCTAACTATTGTTTAGTGGTCCTTTTTCTTCAGGTCTATCATTAGTATTATGATTATTATTGTTATCTCTATTTATCAGACCGTGTTACTGGTTAGAAGCTGCGCATTGGCCATGTGTTCGTGATTTGGATTTCAACCCGCACTGTCCAAATCTGCTGGTAACCGGTGGTGATGATGGATGTGTACGATTGTGGGATTTGCGTTTTCTCAAGTCCAAATTGCACCCAAGTGATCCGGGAAGCGAAACGAGCGCTTCAACACAAACCGCGTTACGTGGACGTTCAGGTTGGCCTTCCTGTCTGAGCACAGAAGTGGCCACGGAACCGCTTTATTCTATTCAGTCCCATTCTCATTGGGTAAGCCAATAATGAATCGCTGTTGAACTTATGTATGACTGAAACAGTACTTGAGTAACCATTGTTCAGGCATTTCAGTTTTTACAGTTTCCTCATCTCCACCGAAAACTTGCAAAGCGATTAACAGTAACCCTCGTAACCCTAATTCAAAATTACATCGGACGCAGGTATGCTGTGGTGATTATCTGTGATACTCGATGGAACAGGCGGGGTAAATCTCTGGTCTTTAATAAGCGAAATACAGATGACTCAATTGCGATAGGTGTGATATTTTTGTAGCTAAACGCCAGGGATCGAACCGCAGGGGATAATTTTGTTCTGGATACCAACAGTGCCGAAAGTTTTGTGCGCAGTGTTTCCGGTAGTACGTGTGACAACTGTTGGATAAAAGCTGCTTGCTTGCTTATTTTCAAGCTTTCTATGCAATATAAAGCATTTCCCCCTAAATTAACGATTGTTTGTATGTGAATAGAAACCAGGTTTTCTCACTGGCTAAGCTATGTGGTTCTCGTTGTAATTACCAAAACCGTAGTGTATAAAGAGCAAATTGTTTTACGTGGTTACAACCGAGATCTCAAGAAATGTTTCCACCTGTCTGTTCAAAACGAATCAAATCATTTAGTTCGGACAAGAGGCCACCAGCTACCCATCCGGTCGCATACAACTAACTATCAGTTAACCACAAAATAAAATGCGCGGTCAACGTTACGTTACCTCGTGCGCGGATTTCATACCTGGGAATTGAGCTTCATATTTTTCGGCCTTTATGTTCAGGTCAGCCGTTTTATTGTTTGTTTTTACAATATTATTTACATTTACAATAGTAGATGATCGAAAAATAACCTTTCCGCACGTTTGCTTTCATGTCTCATCCTACCGGTCTGTTGGTTATTCTTCAGGTATGGTCTGTTCGATATCATCCGACCCGGGATCAATTGCTTCTGTCTGCCGGCAGCGATTCTCGAGTGTGTTTGTACAATTTGTCTCAATTCTCATCCGACGTCCTACTCGGTGATATGGGCTCTACACGAGCCGAGAAAAAAACAGATCCCTTGAATACTGCCGTGGACGTGGATCATACTTCATTGAAGACCTTGGATAGCGATGGTGGTAGCGATCGACGAGACAAGTGAGTTAAATCGATGTTATGCATATTGTGCATCGGCGGATCCAAGAATGATCCTGTTCATCTCATTTCCCAATCACAATAAAGCATTGAAAATGAGTCAATGTGGTTACACTTGTAGACGGGGAACGAAAGAACTCCGTATGGACTGAACTCTTCCCAAACCACAAATCACACGTCATTTCGGAAATCAATGGGGTAGCTTGTTTATCGGTGTTGGAACGCTCCGATTGTGGATTAATTAACCAAAAGACATAAACTTCGGTTTCGTTCACTGGAGCTTGACACTGTGGACAGTGATTGTCACATTGATTTACGTGCAGTAATGCGAATGATGATGGTTACAACTGTGGAGAGTGATATCACCAGAAAGTGATGCAAGTATGCAGAAACACAAACTCTAAATTGCTTGTCTGAAAATGACGCAGGAGATGTACGAAGATTAGTAATCACTGGATACAACCTTATCTTGTTGTAACGGCAATAAGGATGTAAGACTGGTTAATGTTAGGGGTTGGTCGTTTGGATAACCTGTTCATGATGTTTTAAGTCGAGATAATCGCAGGTGATGCTGGTGCACATATCTGTTCTCTTCAGATATTTGTATTTTACAATGGTCTTTCCCGACGAAAGAGACTCAAGCGACTTCATGAATATGATTTTCTACGAAGTTTCGCAGGAATTTAGTACGACTGACGTCGTCAACAATATTTATTCGAGATTTTAAACGACGGCAGTAAGTAATTTGTTAGTGGTGCAGTTGAATTTAGACCGTCCTTGCTTTTCGATCGCTAATATGATTTTGTCTGCCGTGTCTACCCGACTATTTCTCATACACTGGTGAAGCTGCCACCTACCGAGCTCTGAGAAACCCTTTACTCTCACTTGGTTTAACCCACCTACCAAGCGGTTAGCGTTACCACAAAAAACTATGGTGAGCCATAAAAGTGAGTTCGGTAATTGATCAGGGTTTCAGTTTCTGTTTTTACAACTGTTAACCATGAGCTTTCGTGCGCCAGTTTTGGTTGCCCATTTGGATAAAACAACAGAATAAAGGTTAGAATCTTGAGAGCAAGTTCTACCGGAAGATGGCGAATTTATATAAACTGATGTTACAAGAATAATGTCTAGATGCATGAGTGCCATTGTTTGCGATACCCAGCCATATCGCTCAGTGTCTCTAATCATCGGTTACAATCATCCCGAGGTCCCCATCCAGGGGGCCTAACAGGACCTATCTGACCCAGCCTCCCGATTAGGATTTTCATACCCTCATGCCTGATCCTCCTTTGACTGCCCTTGACCTTTCTCAACCGCTGCCTGCCTTGGCAACCTATCTGGTGGCATGCTTTTCAACCATTAGGGGAGCAGCATAACCTCGGTGTTACGGGAACAGGCAGCGGTGACTGTCTCCTGCCCTTCTGCACCGACTATGATTTGTTCGAAAACCTAAATCCGACAATCATCGCAACGACACCTGATCACCCCCGCCTTTGGACATAAATAGACCATGTCGCCTTCAGCTATCCATGGAGAAGCTGCATAACGGACTGAAAATCTATCTAGAGCATCTGCCACAACCATGATCATCCATTCGTGTGTACCGAATTCTCCATGCGCTTTGGTGGGAAACAATAATGTCGCCCGATAAGACTGGAATCGGTGAAACTGTTTCATCGGAACGTAGTTACCGGTTAGTGAAACGCATCAGCTGCTGATCTAATCAGTCCGTCTAATCCAACGTTGATATCTACTGGGTTCATCCGTAACATCTCTATCCGTAATATCTTTATCTCTCTCTCTCTCTCTCTCTCTCTCTCTATATATATATATATATATATATATATATATATATCGTAATAAGTAGTATCTTATTGACTGGACAAAATTTCCCTGGAAGCACACGAACGGTTTCGCGGTTCTTGTCGATCGTCAAGCATGCGTATCCGGTAATCTTTTGTCAGTTCATTCATATACTTGTACCCAGGAAGTGTTTTTTCGTCACAAGAACCTTGTTTACAGCACCGGGTGGTGTTACAAGTGTAAGCAATTTGAAAACGAAGTCATGTAAAGAATTGACACCTCATTTTAGAAGACTCGTGTCCCCACAAGGTATCACTTCTTTTTTATCAACACTGATTCTCGTTAAAAGTTGTCCTTCCTTGTGACAATAGCCATATCACGGCAAATCGCTCAATAGGTGCACCAAACCAGATTATGAAAAGGTAGTGCTTACTAATCCCAGTAGACTGGAGCTTTTCTTGTTGATTGACTATTTCGATTTAGAAAATTTGCCACGTCCTAGTACCAGTATTCAAGTGATGAAGTAACTCCTGGTCTGATTGGCTTATTGATAGTCACGTTGTGTTTCTCGAACTGGTTCTCTATTTGTGCAGACTTCGTGACGGACTGATTGCCCGATTGGAACAGCACGAGGACAGTGTGTATGCAGTCGATTGGAGTCCCGTAGACCCGTGGTATTTCGCTTCGGTCAGTTACGATGGCAATCTGCTGATCAATCAAGTTCCCGAGCCGGTCAAAATGCACATTTTGCTTCAGTCCAAGGTAGACGATGAAGAAGAAGAATAGAATGACGCGGTTCATCGTTCCTAGTCTCTTTCAACAGATTTGTCCGATTCTGATGCAGTGATTGTGATCGTCTTTTTCGCTTTCCCAGTGTTTTCTGTTTTTTTGCATTTTTTCACTTTTCTCTGTGATGTTTGATTTTCAATATTGTGCTTTCCATTTTTGAAAATATCCTCCTCACTGTGATTGCATTTTTGGCTTCCATTGTTCCAGTTCATAAAAACCATGGTTTTTAGATTTGGCCTACTCTTTAAGGGATTTCACTCAATTGTGGAATCAGTTTTGCAATTGCTGACTGAGTACAATGAGGATTCGCCCTGTTACCTTCTAGACCGAAATTGCTGGCGACACGAGAAAAAATAATGCTTTTATTACGGCATTAGTAGACCAGTGATGTTAGTGACTGTGGGCTATCTACCTCAAAACTGCGAGCATCCATTCCCGATTTCATTTCCGACGGAATACAACCAATCGATCTTCCGGCAATTCCTGTTACTTATTCTAATCCCAATTCGAAAAACATTGCAATATAATGATCGCCCGAGAATCGGTTAATTATCTTCAAAGGGTTTCATCAAGAGTCCAGTGGGGTTTGTATGATTTTATTTGGATTGATCTTAGTGCGGTAAAAATTTTCAGCACGTCTTCCTGCTTCACAATAAATGTTCAACATTTTTGGGATTGGGTGTGGTCTTCACTTACGATTTAAGTCCATCTCATGCAACTCATCTCCACCATTTATTTAGTTCCACACGCACTCTTGTTCTCACTATTCCATCATAGTGAAAATTATAAGCGCCTCCAATTCACTTAGATGTAAGTTATGTAATCTAGACTACTTGAAAACCGCATTATGAGCTTAATCTCACACTGACCGTGAATAGTCTCGACGAAGTAAGAATATTCTTGGGAAGTATCACGTTTTGGATTAGCCCATTTGCTCGTTTAGAGTATCGCCAGACACTTGATGGTCCATCAACAGTGCCTGGTGCTTCTAAACAATTGAATGGGCTAATTCAAAACGTGATGCTCTACATTGATTGACCCATTTGCACAAGGTGATGACCGTCAACCGTGTAGCTCAGGGGTGAAGGTTTGAGGTTCCGACCCGAATGTTCGCGGTTCTAGTCCGGACATGGACACAAGAAGTATGCACGGTTGGCGAGACCCAAGCAGGACGAAAACGGTTGTTCAGTGCTCTTTGTCGGTTATCACAGAAGTTTCCGTCGCATTCAGAATATTCTTCGAAAATGATAATGGCAGGATTTCAGATCAAGTGTTCTAACGCATACAAGATGGTAGCACGTTGCTATCAATTTCCATCATTAGATATGTATTGGTGATATCTCTGTGGGCGGCGGAGGTCCTACCTATCCTACAGAGAAACTGCTATTTACTTAACGTTAGGTACATCTCCCTCCAACCGTGTGTCTTAGGATCAGATAGTCTTATACTGAGCAAAACAGTTTCACTGCATTGTTTTAGGTTGCTGAGACACGACCAACGAATGCCTGTGCCAAACCGTGTCCATTACGGGCTGGAAGAAACAGCGAGGTGAACGGGCTATGACGTAGCATAGAGGATTCAAGAAATTGTGCTCGGTTTTATATGTCTATCGTGTGTGTGGTCTTTGGGACCTGGTTTTGTGTGGTCAGTAGACTAATTGATATGAAGGTAATCGCGGTCATACACTAGTGGTTATCATCCATAAGTTATGAGTATTGGATGTGTCACTTATCCCAATGAATAGGCCCCCTTTGACCTAGGATTCCTATGTAAGCAGTTCTCACCTACTGGAAACTTAAGGGTTGTCAGGTCAAGACCTAGTTTCTCCTCAGACTCCTATGTTTGTTATTGACATTGACTAATCTGTCTCTGTGCCACGGTCATGTGTTGACTCTACAGTACACACACCTAGGTTATCGGGATGTCAACTAGCTTTTCGTTTTACCTCATCCCCTCATTCGTTAACCATATTGGTCCTTAGAAGGCAGTAACCGAAACTTAAAGGCAGAATTGCTAACTGACACCCGTTACTTCTCTCTCGTTGAACATCCATCGTTTACGCCAATGTATGTACCGATCAACATGCCTTACGAGGCTCCCCACCAATGATTTTGGTACATTGATTGGTTTCATTCTGCAAGTTTACAGGGCTTCCAAGGCTAGCATTCTTTTTGTCCCGTATCGGAATACTTGAAGTTATCCTACAAATCCCTTCAGTCCCTGATCTCCGCTGAATGCTGACCAGAGGTGAAAGGAAGAACTAGGAAACTGGGATACTTTGGAAATTCTGTTGCACCGAAGTCGTTGTTGTCTCTAACCCCGGACTTCGCTAATAGCCTTATTGCACAAAGTAATGAAGCCCTATAACATACTGAAGTAATAATTGAACGAGCTACATAAGGTCTGTAGGTTTTTTTTTCAAAAAAGCTAGTGGTTCCCAGTTTGCTGATTTTTGGAACGGAATTACGGTAAGATTGGCTAATCCACTTGTTGTTGATCATGCACTTAAGTGATTTTCCGGAACTATTTTCTCATCTGTCTCCTCATGGCTAGGTCTCCAGCCTTGGTCGGATGCTTTTCCGACCATTGTCGCACTGTATTGTCACTAATGATAATTTTAACTCATCCATCAAATCAACTTCCTTTAAATTGATATCCCGTTCTTTATTCCTATTAAGTTCTTCCAGATGTACTCGGTTGTGCGTTTCATGTGCGACGAAACGATCTACCCATATTAACGGGTGATTCTTGAGTTGTTACTAACCTTTGATGAAGATCGCTAATTCGATAGTCACATTCGTTGACAGACTTATCCAACAAAACCCATGCAGCAATTGGGGACCTACTTTGTAGGTTGGTGCTTTCTAAAATTACTATTGAATCCCACAATAGTAAACAATCCGAAAAATCTCACTTGATCTCCTCCAAGAGTCAAACTCACGTAATGTGATTTGTAATAATTTCGTATTGATAAAACTGAAATCCTGCCACATCTTTAACATCAAACGAACATATCTCAATACTACTTGGTATGGACAACGACCGCAGAACAACAACGGATGTTGATGGAACTTATTCGAGATACCGAACACGAAAATTCGGGACAAAGAGAAATACGGCCATCACTAGATACGATTAAAAGATCCTATCGAATGCACTCCATCACTTTGGTCAAATTTTTTCGTGAGGTATTCATCGCGGAATGCGTTCAAACGTCGATCGGTAGAATGTTGTCGGTGTCATAATTCCAGGTGCCTGGTAGTTGTTTACTGCAGATTACAGTTGGGATATCAATAATTTGGCTTACATCTAACAAATATCGCATTTGAAACGTCATCACAATTCCCGGCAGTCCACCGGGTAATGAATGGAGTAGTTTGTAGTTATTCTTTGGGACACAGCAATTCGCCCTCAGTGGTCATGGCCATTTTTAATCGATGCAGGAAACCACTATTTTGCACACTACTCACAAATGTGAATTGTGATGACAAACCGCTTGGCCCAGTAACACAAGTGGACCGGTAATCGGTGGGAAACTGGTCGCTAAGGACCTCGTTATTAGCTAGGTGATTACTCAATTACTGCTAGTTATTTGCTTTCCACATGTGCTATCTGTTCTACAGGAAGTGAAAGTACGAATTAAGATGAAGTTTACGATTCTATACATCGCTTGTTTCACAATGCAGAGATCGTAGCGGAGGTCGATCATTAGGAAGACTTTGTTAAACGCTGTTCCGATTTTGATGCGTCCTTTTTGGTTATTCTTACACAGTAACGATATTGTAATTCACTTTCTCTACGAATTACAGTTTCAGGTTTGATCGACCGAAATCCGGGTATGTTAGGGACCAAACATCAAGAGTTGAAACTCGCTTCATTAAATAGTTGCGATTCAAAAATCTACAGCTGGTCCCGATTACAATGAATCCACCGTCCCATTGTTTTCGCGACACCGACAGTTGTTGCTGGACACTTGATCCGAGAATTTAGCATGGCTAACAATCGGGAATTCGAAAACACCGTTTTCCCCTTAACAATTTTAACAGAGAAGTCAGAAACATAGATTTGCACAATGTACCAATCGCCATTCCGCTGCATCTGTACACGTGCGTGATGTTATCATGTAAAGGCGATAACGGGAATGAATTAGTCAGCATACGTTTGAACTCTACCGTCAAGCCTATCTATTACGTCATTGTCCTCACTACCACCCGGATACCAATACCAACGGTAAAAAGCCACTGGCCCCTAAGCCAAATCAAATTGAATTTACCAACTCAAGTGTGAGTATTCGGTCGTTTGCTTAGTCAGGACAGGTAGGTAGTTACGACATCGGATGGCCAAACTCATACCAGTGTGACCTAAGAAAGCATTAAGCCGTTACCATTGAATAAGCAGAAAAATCTAGACCTTTGATAACACAAGACTTGTTCGAACACAAACATGGACACTCCAACCCACGCATTTCAGGTTATCTACAACATAACAAACACAGTTACTGGATTTTGCCGGGGCTCTAGCCATTCA